AGAGGCGAGAAAGTAATGAGCTCAGAGCCACCCTGGGCTTCACGAGGGGAACACGCAGACAATCCTACTATCCAAAAAATGCCTGACAAGGCTCATGTATTTGAAAAGGTTTCTAGCTCTGTAGCCTTGGGCAAACAATTCACCTCAAGTTTCTGCTTCCTCTCCTACCTATATTCACAGCCCCACATTGTGAGAGGGGTCTCCTCTACCAGCATTTGGTAAGGCTGGGGCTGCAGGGGAGCCTCTCCCTGGACAGAACCCCTTCCAGGGAAGGGCCAGGAGCCCACTACTTGGAGGGATGCAGACAGACAGACAGATAGACATTGGTTTACTAGGCAGGGGGTGGTGACTGAAGCAGGACAAGGTGTCAGACATATCTCCTGTTTGGAAGAGGATAGGGAATGCCCTCACTCACAGCAGCTGCCCCAGAGGACATAGGACACTGCCTTGTGCTATCTGTGGACTTGAAAGCCACAGTCAGGGCTGTGCACGCACTAAAAGTGTTGTCTTGGCTCAGGTATTGTGGGTTGCAGTGACCCTGAGCCCCCACTAGAGGTCACACCACAACCTCTTTGAAAGGAATGGTTGGGCCATCAGATTGACAAAAATGCTGTGCTTTAGAGATTGGAGCGCTAGACACCCAAAATAGGAAGCAGGCTACATCAGTGCCACGTGACAGGTCATGACCCCTCCACGAGCCCCCATCTGCAGTCTCAGCTCCAGAAAGCATGCAGCCCTGCGCTCATGGCTGGCTGCTATTTCCCATGGGGCAAAAAAGCCCAAGTTCAGACTCAGGAAAGAAGAGGACGGTGGAGCCACCAGATAGCTTGCTTTAAAGGACTTCAGAGCCAGGAATATACCTCAGAGGCAGGCAACTTCCCTAGTGCCATCCCACCCCTGTGAAAACAAGACTGTTTCAGAGAGCTGTGTGGAGACGCCACATCCGCCCATCACCAGACACACCTTCCCCATGTGGACACCAGTGTCTCCGTGTCCTGACAGGGGTCACTAATGGCTCCTGCATTTCTGATACACCTGCACCAGTGGCTCCACCCTGGTGTAGGGCAGAGGCCCTACATTTGCCACAAAGCAGCAATAACTGCAGGCTTTTTAAATTTTATGTTACATCCGTGTGCATGTATCTGCTGTGTGTGCATGGCTGTACACGTTTGTGGAGGCCAAAGGTTGACATGGAGTTGTTTTCCTGTTTCTTTCCACTTTTTTTTCATATATATATTTAAAACATTTTAATCATAAAGCCAACCCAGACTTATATAACATGTAATTTTTTTTTTTACTTTTATTCTTTGCAGATTACACACCATGCATCCCGATCCCACTCATCCCATATCCACCCTCCATCCTTGCAGCCTCCCCCAAAAAAACAAATTTTAAAAGAAAAAGAAAAATCTCGGGGAAGCTGAAGTGCGGCCTGTTGAGACACACAGTTCACCCTTCAGTCCTTTCATCCCCACATGGAAGTGTTCATGGCCATGAGCCTTTGGTCTGGCTCGTGGCCTCTGGCTTCTGCTACGCCACGGATGCTGGGCTCTCACTGGGGCTCTCTTGGATATTCTGTTGTTGTCCTGTGTCATGGGGATCCTGCAGCTTTGGATCTGTAGGCTCATCCCCTTCACATGCTCCAGCAAATCACAGATGGGGTGGGTGTTGGGGTGGGCCAACCCACAGCCCTTGTTCTGGGCCTGGGTGGTAGCTGGGTTGGTCAGCCTGCCAGCTCTCCTTCATCCTCATTCACTACCCAGGTGAGCACTGCCTCAGGCAGCCCACCCAACCCAGCCTGCGGCAAAGAGGGGGACCAGTCCACCTGCTCTCAGGCTCTCCGGTCCAGCTCACCCGCACTCACACCATCAGGGCTAGCTCCACTGTGATGTAGATCATTTCAAGGTGTGTTACTTTTGTTTATGCTCTGGAGCATTTGTTGAATAATGCAAAGATGTGTTTGATTAAATAAAATTCACCTGTGGCCAGGAGGCTGCGTCAGCAACTAGCTGACAGGAAGTGGTAGGGAGGAGCCAGGTGGAGAGGGTGTTTTAAGCAGGGGGGCTTTGTGGAGGACATGAGCAAGGAGAGGTGAGTTAGTTACTTGCTACTCAGCCTCTCTGAAGAGCAGAATTCCCCCCTTAACCTTTGACTCTTGAGTTCTTTAGAGGGACAGAGGTTTAGTTAAGTTCCCTTCGTAGCTTTTTGAAAGAGTCAGTGCCTGAGGGAACAGAATTCCCTCAGGCTGTGGCTCTTGGCATAACCAACCACTGCTGGTAGCATGCAGTTGTGGATTCGAACAGTGTGGCTTAAAAGGCAGCAACAGTTTTTAAAAAAGGACACCACCATTGTCTTGCCCAGGCAAGGTGCAGGGTCCTCTCTCTCGATTGCTGTAGGGGACATTTGAGGGGGCGGCAGGGTCAGCTCTCCTGCTCTCATGGCCTCAGAGCAAGCTCACCTGCCCCACTGACAGCAGGGTTAGCTCTGGTGTGCTGCCCTGGTAGGGTTCAAGGTCTGCTCTCCTGTGTGCTGCAGCTGATGACAGGCAGGGCTAGTTCTTCCACTTTCGTGACCCCGGAGGCAGCTCTCTTGCCTGCTACAGATGGTGGTGTGTGTGTGTGGGGGATCTTTCCCTCACCCATGCCACCACATGGGAGATGAAAGTGGGGGGCAGGATGAGCGCTGCTGTTCTCACGCCCTCAGAGCCAGCTCACCTGCACCCCCAACAACAGGGTCAGCTCTAGCGTGCTGCCCAGGTGAAGTGCACACCCGTGACGAGGGGTGGGGCCACCTTTCCTGACTGCAGGGGGGGCAGCTCTCCTGCTACAGTATCCAACATGGGCAGCGCCAGCTACTCCAGGACCAGCGATGGGCGAGACCAGCTCGGCAAGGCCCTCAGATTTCAACACTTGCTTCCTATGACCACTGCCCCCACCACCCCGTGGGAACACGAGCCGTAGACGTCAACACAGACACCAGCCACAGCAGGACCACAGACCCAGACATGACCCTCAGCAGCAGCGCTGGCCCAGATGACACCATGGCCCTGGGTGACAGCACAGGCCACTCAAATCAGAATAGCCCTGGCAGCAGCACTCATGGCCCCTGGACACCCACATCACCCACAGGACCACAGGTTGTGGCCTAGACCCTGGGCATCCGTGTGGCCTTTGGTGGGTGGCACCATGGGCCACCAGACATCAACAGACCCCAGCTGTGGTGGGGCCACAGACCCAGACATGGTCCTCAGCAGCAGCCCCAGCTGAGATGTCACCATGGCCCCAAGTGGCAGTGCAGGCCACTCAGATCGGCATGGCCCCTGAGGGAGCATGGCCCCAGACACCAACCTGGCCCCAGGTGGCGGCCCAGAGTACAGGCCTCTCTGCATGGCCCTCAGTGGGGACAGGAGCCACAGTTATCAACCCATGGCTCCTCAGCTGCTTCAGGGCCTTGGACCAAGATGAGCCCTTGGCAGTAGCCCAGGCCCAGACATCACCTTGGTCTCAGGTGGCAAGCAGGCCATTCACATCAGCCTGTTCCTCACTACCCTCACCTCTTCAGATCTGCCTCTCCCCAGCCCATGAACGGCTCCACCTCTCCCACCTCCCCACCCCGTCCTCACTCACCAACCATAATGGTGTCTGACCGCCAGGTGCCATAGGCAGCAGGTGGTTCTAGTCGAGCCTGCCCCCGCCAGCCGCATGGCATGGTGCAGGGCTGTAGCTGTGTTGCAGCCCCACAGCCCAGGGCTGGAGTCCCCTGGTGGCTCCTAGTTGAGTCCTGCCCTTACCGACCACATGGCATGACACAGAGCTCTGCTCTCTACATTTTAAAAATTCTCAAAGTGTGGTGTGTGAGACAGGGAGAGAGAGAGACAGAGGAGGGGGGGAGAGAGAGAGAGAGATGTGGTTGGTCAGAGTAGCTTTTAGAGTGGGTTCTTCCCTCTGCTGCATACATGAGCTTCTAGCTGATTCTGTCCTCACCTCTCATCAATGGAATGCTGGGATTAGACTAGCCATGGCATCTGGGTCGTTTTGGTTTTTTATGGATTCCAGGGCTCAAAGCTCAGGTCTCCTGACTGCACGAGCACCTGTATTCACTGGGCCACTCTAGGGGCCCCTCCACCTTACCTTTTAAGTCAGGTTATGTCACTGAGCCCAGAGCTTTCTCTCTAGTCAGAGACCCCCAGGGGTCCTCCTGGTACTGCCTCCAAGTACTGGGATTACCGGCCCATGGGTGTCGGGGAGCTGAACTCAGATTCTCATGCTTGCCAAGCCACAAGTTTATGTGTGAATCAGTCAAACAGAGCTGGTTTGTTCTTACAGTCTACATAAACATAATACTGTGTTTCTTCCAACATCCCATCATGCAACAGTGATCCATGCACATTGGCCCTGGGCTCTGCCTGCCCATGCCCTCTAGGTGGCCGGGTGTTCCTTCCTCAGCTTTCTTCAGCCACCCAGAGAGGCATCAGAGTTCTCAAAGCTGCCACCCTGCTGTGGACGCCTGGCACAACACTTCACCGATTTCTGTCCATCAAGGGCATGACTGCCCTCCCCCGAGTTTCCTTTGTGCCTCGGGGGTGTTGGGATGGGGCCAAGGATACCGGCCAGCGTTTTTTACCCTGATCCTTCCTCATGTGCAAAAGCTGAAGCTTCACTTTAGATCAGTGTAGGGGGCTGGAGAGATGGCTCGGCAGCCAAGAGCAGGCTGCCCTTGCAGAGGACCCGAGTTCAGGTCCCAGCACTCACGTGGCAGCTCAAAATCATCCGTAACTTCAGGGGATCTGACATCTGAATTCTTTGGGCACCAGACATGAGTGTGATGCACACATGCAAGCAAAACACATATATAAAATATAAAAAGTGTGTGTGTGTGTGTGTGTGTGTGTGTGTGTGTGTGTGTGTGTGTGTAGAAGGTACAGCCCCAGCCACCCCTCCTGGGGGCCCCCATCCCCATCTTAATAACACCCCAGAGAAACAAATCACAAGGCCCACAACAAGGCTTCAAAAACAGGTTTACTGAAAGGAGAAACAACCACACATCCTAGGTGACAGAGTCACAGGTGATGTCAGGCCCCAGACGCACAGCAGCTACTGTTCCAGGGCCCTTCCCTGATCCTTAGGCAAAGCTGAGCTGACCCGAGAGGGCTTCTAAGAGCCACTCTCTGTCCAGAGCTCGGAGGCATTCCAGACAAACCACATCTTCCAAACAGGCTTGTGAGCGCAAGTAATTGGGCTGAAAAAGCACGTTCTGGTGTTTTTTTTGTTGGTCTCCATGCAAACACAAAAGATCCAGCCACAGAAAACGGTCCTGTGGGTGCCTCAGTGTCCACCACGAAACCCCTCTTTGAAGGTTAGCCATATGGGCCAAGGGGCTGTGAATGCCAGGGCCTCATTCTCAAGTTCTAAACCATGCCCTCCTATCTGTAGCTTCTCCTGGGAGACATCTATCCCACTCTTCCCCAGAACCACAGACTCGATCTATAACTGCAAATGGGTGATGATGACCTGAGGAGGTTGACACTCTGCCCAATCAGGACAGAAAGGCAGGGGCAGAAGGAGCTCAGCAGACCCAGACGCTCTGCCCAGCATCACATTACAGGTCAGGTGCTTGATGTCGCCCGTGCATCACTCTCTTGAGGAAGAGGCCCAAACTAGGTGTCCTGGGGTTCACAAAATCCTGACAGCCGAGGAGGATGGTTCCTCCCCACTAATGCCCACAAGTACTAAAAAGTGAACATACAATGCGCGGGTGTTGTTCCCAGCAAGCTTGGCGAGCAGACAGAGCCACTGGAGGACTGGGATAGAAAGCCGGCAGCTGGGGAGGCGCCCCGGCTGTCCAGCCCCAGCAGTGCCCAGCTCCCGAGTTCTTGGTGAAGGAACAAGTCTAACAAGTGCCTCCGAGCTCATCGCATGATGTGAGGAAGGGCTGGCTGACCAGCATCTGGCCAGGAACTGCCAAGCACCCACTCTATCGGCAGACATGCGGGAACAGGGAGGACCCAAGAGGAGGCGCAGGGATGCTGCGGAGCTGACAGCCCAGAGCAGAGGGGCCCAGGGTCTGAACACATGCCACAAACAGCCAGGCAGTGGATGCCAGAGGGACAAAGGTGAGTCAGGACCAAAGCAAGGAGTCTGGGACTCCCGGTACTGGCCTCCCAAGGGCGGACTTCAGATGCTGAAAGTCTGAGAAATGATAGCCAATGTCCTGCCACTGCCTCAGGGCCTGAACACATCAGGGCCTAAACAGACATCAGCAACATCCTCACACACAAGAACTGTCCCCACTAGAAAAACTTCCTGAGGCTTGCACCTGACCTCAACCACACACACACACAGCAGAGCAGGCCAAGTGTGGAGACCCACAAGAGGCCTTCTCTCCACCTTCCATGGACTCTGCAGCCTGAGGAGCAAAATGATAAGGCCAGCCAACAGTTCTCACATTGGGGGGGGGGGTGGCAAGGGACAAAGACATCTATCTGCCTCCTGTAGAGTACCTGGGCCTGGCTGTTCCCTACACTGGGCAGCACTGTTTGTTCCACCTCCATCCAACAGTGATGCCAGCCCTTGTCAACCCTCACCTGCAGCAAATGGGGCATGCATTCAGGAAAGCCAATATGTGACTGGCTAATACGTGTGACCGCCCTTACTAAACTGGAAGTGCCTGGGGACACTTTAGAAAATTCCAAACTACAGCATCCCCACAGTAAGCCTCGGGGCCTGGGTAAAACGTATTCCTGATTTTCTCCAAACACAGCGAGACCAGAAGAGCAGCCACCTGCATGCCCAGCTGTCCGGTCTTCATAGTCATAGTCCCCACCGTCCAGAGCCTACCTCATTTGGCACAATAGGAACACTCATGACTAACAAAGGAAGTAACAAAAGGCTGGACTCCGTCCTGCAAAAGATGCCAGAGACCAGAACCCAGCCCCGGCAACTCGCTGCAGGCTGTCACAGCAAAAGCCAGTACCCCAAGCCAGTTCACAAGGGTCCTTTGCCCGCTACCTCCCGAGTCTGCAGGCCCTTCTGACAGGAAAGGCCTGCCATTGTTAGGGAGGGTACGGCCATCCTCGTGTGGCCGCCACCTTCCTAAGGTCTCTCACCAACAGGCTGAGTTCTGAACACCAAGTACAAGGGCTCACCCTCAGGGTTGAGCCGCCAGGGTGGGAGAGGCGGCCTAGAAGTCTGCTGAGGACTGGAAGTGATAGCGGGAGTTCCAAAGGTCTGAGCTCTTGGTCTCTGCCCCGGGGGAGACACTAATGTCCTCAGAAAGGGTTCCCCATACAAACATTAGCATGGCCCAGCACTCAGGGTCTCTGACCAGATGAGTCCTCAATTAGCAAAGATCCCAGTGCACTACCACACACAAGTGTGACCGTCTAGAAAGCGGCCCTCTCTCTCTGCTGACACCAACGCTGTGGGAGGCACCTGCACAAGCATGAGGTGAAAGCAACAGGGACGTGGTGTGCAGCAAGGACAGGCCCCACAAACAGACAGGGCCAGCTCTCCATCGTGTGTGTGGAAGACCAAGGGAGTGGTGTGTGGCTGCTGGGGACAAGCAAGTGGCTGGCCTGGCAGCTTGGCTCTAATGCTAGAGCAGGTGTGACGCAGAGGACACCAGGGGGCCAGGATGGAGGCAGCAGGGGCACTCCTTGGTGGCTCCTATCAGCCAGAACAGGAAAACAGGTCATGGTAGAATGCCCTTGTCTAAGCAAGTTAGTGAGGAAATAGAAACCCATCCAGGGTCCCTGGGCCCGATACTCCAAACTCCACTGAGGCCACCTTCCAGCTGTGACTGCCAGGTCATCCAAAGGGAACACCTCCCATGATCCATGGCGGCTGGGTCATAACCTTCCCTAAAGACAGATTCACTTTCTCCAGAGAACCTGAAGGCATCCATTTGACTCTCTGTGCCCCAGCCACCAGCTAGTCAGACTCCCCCTGGCCAACTGTTTACTCCCCCACGGTGCTCACTCCTCTCCCTCACAGCTACCGACAGATCAACTATACAAGAGTATGTTACACACTATACAAGAAGTGCCTCGGGGCCAACGGGGCCCTCGTGAGGAGGTGTGCGTTCATTTCCAAAGTGCATGCTTCCCCCACCCCAGGCCCCAGGGCAGCCTCTCCGCCCACGTGGAGGTCAGGAGGTGAGAGACTGGATGTTCCTGAGCATCTCATCAAAGGCCTGTGGCGACGGTGCATCGGCATTCTGGAAGGTGGCCTGAACTCTGCTGTACAAGCTGAAGGACTTCAGTTCCAGCCAGAGAAACCCAAAGCGGTCCTCATCAAACAGGACGAAGACTCCAGGAGTGCGCTCAGGACTGGTGAAGCCATGGCCAGCGATGAGGCCTGTGCCGTAGAAACTAGAGAGACAAGGGAGCATGCCATCAGAAGGCGCCCAGAGAGCAGGTGCCCACACCACATGGGGCACACATACAGTGCACACTGTGTTTTTCCAGAGCTCCAGCCATACCACAGCAGTTAGCCAGTAACAGCACCCAAGGAGGTGGGTTAACCCTTTCAGGGTTAGGGTCAGGCTCAGGTCCCTGACTGAACTCTGTCAAGGATAAGCACATGGGAGCCCCAAGGGCTCTGAGCCACTTAGGTAGTCTGTGTGCAAGAGACCAAGATTTGCCTATCTGTGGCCCAGAAAACATTGTGGCAACTGAGGTAGGAGTGCCAGGCAGGCCCGCCAGAACTCTCCTCCCACGCCCCTCCCTGTACCCAGGCACGTATCAACTGACAGACTGCTGAGGAGAGCAGAGAGAGCATCACACTGGATCAGAGGCTTCTCAGACGGGGGAGAAAAGCTTGTTCTTCTCCAGAAGGGTAATCAATGGCCACGGTACCTAGAGAGGGCCACAGAGGCTTCCTGCCTCAGAGTGCAGGGGCCTGGCCCTTACTGCCCTTTGTAGAATGGCTTGGATGATGGGGAGGGGGGGCCCCATCATGAGCTGAAGACAGTGGCCAGGGCTAAAGCCTAAGAGGCAAAGGTCGAGGAGGTCTGAGCGGCTGCCCAGCTGGCTGGGTTGTGGGTCAGATGCCCCCTCTCCCTCACCAGTGCGGGCACACATGACAAAAACCACCAAGGGGCTGTGTGACCTCAAAGGAGCAGAAACAGGTAGTGGGGGGGGGGGGGACAGGAAACAAGCGAAGAGCCTGGTGTTGCGATGTGTGCGATGGCGCCACCCACAGGACACCCAGGCACACTGCAGGACCGGAACCTTCTGCTCCACCCACTTGCCGAATCTGTGGGGCATTTTCCTTGTCTTTTTTTCACCTGACTAACCAAGTCAGTCATCTTTCCAGCCTTCTCCGTCGGTGCCACCTGAAGTGGCCCCACGTGCTAAAGGCTCTTGAGAAAAATCCCAGCCTGGGTCCTTCTATAGGGTGTTGCCTTGGATCTGCAATGCTGTGTGTCCCGCCCCACGCCACCCCCGGGCCCTAATGTTGTCCTGGAAGACTGTGGGGCCCTCAGCAGGCAGGGCCTAGCTGTAGGAAGGAATTTGCTGGGGACAGCCAAACCCCGTCTCAGGCCTATGCTCTGTTTCCTGCTCTGCATGTGAGCCTGCTTCTGCCACAGGCTGTAGGAACGCAGCCCAGCCTCCCTCCACAATGGCTGAAACCATGAGCCAAAAACAGACCTTGAGCCGGCAAGATGGCCCGGTGGGTAAAGGCACTCGCTATGCGGCCTGACCCCCTGAGTTCGATCCCTGGAGCCCACATAAAGGTGGGAGAGAACTGACTCCACACAGTTGTCCTCTGTCCTCCACGTGCACCATGGCGCGTGCACCCCGCCCGGACCCCCACATAACAAAACATCTAAAAACAGGCTTCTAAGCTGTGAGGCAGGGGGTCCTCACCATAGCCGGCAAGTCCGGGGATAGTCTTCATTCCTCGAGCTGACGCCCACGGGCAACACAAACGGCTGCCCCTGCCCAGTTGAGGCCGACTGCTCGGCGGCGGCGGCGGCGGCTGCCTCAGCTCCGCTGCCAGCCTCTTTGCTGTCCCCGGCGGCGGCGGCGGCGGCGGCAGCGGGTGGCGGCCCCTCGGGGCCCTTCGCGGAAGGCTCCCGGGGTGGGGCGGGGTCCTCGCCGGCCTCCTGCTGCTCCTGCCGCACCTGCTCGCGGACCTCCAGGACGATCCTGGAGAGTTCATTGAAGTTGCGGAGGTTCTCCACATCGGGCAGCTGGATGCGGCGATGCAGGTCAATCTCCACAGTCTGCTGCCCCGCGGGGATGTTGGGGTCGCCCTGAGGAAGGGACAGGTGGCAGTAAGCAGGGCTGAGAGGCCCAGGAAGACCTCCCGGCAGGCAGCGTGCTCAAGTTCTGCCAGGTCTTGCAGCGGCACCTCACAAGGCACTGGATGGAGTCTGAGGCTTCCCTAACCAATCAGCTCCCAAGAACAACCGTGATTCCAGTGAGCGATGCAAGACGCCCTGAGTGCAGGCTCACACAGATGTCTAGAGACCCCCGCCAGTGAAGCATGCGCACCCTCCCAGGGCCTGGCTGAGACCAGGCCAGAAGCTCAGCTCAGGCTGGTCTGACTGGAACAGTTTCTGAGCCTGACAGGAGGAAGCTCCCATTCCCTCCACTAGCCACTCCGTGGTGGTGAAGTGCTAAAACCCCAGGGGAGCAGTCAGGTATCATGAGGACCCTGACCCACAGCTCAGGGACATGGGCCACAGAAGCCCCCGATGGAGGCTTGGCTGCTCAGGACACAGTAGTAGCATCTAAAACCCACCTCCCAGAACTCGGTGACAGGTGAGCCCAGTGGCGGCAAAGTGGCCCTGGCAAGGCACAGCCACACGTGCAGCCAGCCAGCTCTTCAGAGCTCAGGAAGAGGGGCTTTATCTGAGGCTCAGATCCCAGCCCGGACCACAAGAGTGCCCACACCGACATGCGCTGTGAGGCTGCCCGCTAGGGCAGTGGGTCCCAGTGAGGCTGCACAAGGATGTTAGTTAGGCAGCCTTTCCCAAGTTCCTGCTCATTCAGAACCTAGGAAGTCTGGGTCATCAGCGGAGAGGGCCTAAAAATCAGCACGCCCGGCAGCACCGGCAGGGTCCTCGTTCGCTGGATCCCGGGTCTCTGGAGCACAGTGGACTCATGCCTGCCCACCAGACGGCTGTGAGACACCGGTACGGCTCACCGTGATCTTGGTGCCCCTGGCCCGTGAGCCGTGGAAGCTGAGCATCACGATTTCCAGGCCGTGGCTGCCATAGGTGCCCTTAAAGAGGCCGGGCTTGATGAGGTCATCGGGGTGGCTGGGTGGGAGGTAGATCCGGCGGTAGGTCAGGCAGTTGCTGCAGGGGCGTAGACAGAAGAAGCAAGGGGCTCAGCCTGACTGGACGGGTGTCCTCCGTGCCTGGGCAGCCCCCTAGACTAAGCCCCCAGCTCTTGGGCACAGCACTCCTGGCACCGATGTGCACCCTCAGGGCCTAGGAGGGGCAAGCCCAGGAGCACGGCACAGCTCACCGTTACCCTCAGGAAAGGAGCCCATGCCCCCAGCACAGGGAGGGGTCATGGTCAGGCATGGAGCCAGATGCCAGGAGGAGGCCAAGACCAGGCTACCCAGAGCCACCTGGCTTCAGCACACACTGGCCACTGACACCTATACTAGGGTGACAATACCACAGTAGGGGTAGAGGGTACGAGTGTGCTCACAGCACCCACAGAGATAGGGGGCCTACATTCACAATACTCAGAAAGGGGGGACTAAGTCCACAGTACCCACCCAGAAAAAGGAGACCTGAATTCATAGTATCCAAAGAGGGGAATCAACTATATTCACAGTACCCAGAGAAGAAGGACTGCATTCATAGTCCCCACAGAATGGGAACCGCATAGTCTCTATAGAAACAGGCCACCCTCACCCAAAGAGAGGGCGGTACTCACACCTCCAGCGAGGTGAACTACTTTCACAGTACCAAGAGACTGCGCTCACAGCACCCCAGAGGCCCTGACTCACTCGTACTGACTGGTGTAGATGAACTTCATCAGAATCAGCTCCTGCATGTGCTCGTGGAAGATGTCTTCCAGCGTGCGGCCCCACTCCTCCCTCAGCCATGTCCGAAACTCCTTCAGAGAACAAGGGCACGGCAGTCACCACAATGGAAGGAGAGAGGCTGCTGTATGATGCTGACCGAACGAATACTTCCAAGCCGAAGGGGCTGGCCGGTGGGCAGGTATGAGCCAGAGTTGGTGAGCCCCTGGGATGTGGGTCTGAGGATGGCCCACCTGTGATAAAGGACAGGGTCCTCACCTTCCCAGGGCACACAGCCTCAGACTCCCAGGAGGGGGCAGCAAGGTCACAGGGTTCCCTTAGGCAAGGCTGGGATCAGAGCTCCTGTCCTGGGCAACATGTGCCCATGGTGGGAGACTGGTATCCATACTGATCCAGCTTGACCCTGCACCACCCAAGAGACCTGAGGCAGCGGGAAGAGTGCAGGCCCAGCAGAGCCCCATCCTAACCCCAGCCAATGAGAAACAGCCCCTGATCGGCCAGGACAGGCCACCCAGACCCTGCTCAGGACAACCCCTGCCCAAAGGTTTGATTCTACATAATTAACTGACATAGGCTTCCAAACCTGACCTGGCCTTTCCCGTGACTAGCATGAGCTCCACAAATGGAGGCAAAAGCAATTCGCAAAATTAAGAAAGCTACAATCTTGGGACGGGTTTCTTTAACATGTCACTGCAGGAACCCAGAAGCCATTGCAGGGCCCAAAGGAAGCCAGAGGCACAACACGAAATCTTACCAATTTCTGTTTCCAGCATCTTGTACAAAGTAGAGCTTGAAATCACACAAGCCCTGTGTACAGGGCCGCTCCTGTGCAAGCCACAGAACAAACTGAGCAGAGGCAAGGCCTGAAGGAAAAGTCAGGTACTCCGCCCTGTCAAGGCTACAAACTGACCTCTGGGTCCAGCACCTCATGGAACCATACAGAAATGCAAAGACTCCAGACACATGGACAAAACAGGTAGATGCCAGGACTCTTAATACCGTCCATCCACAGACTAAGACATAAGGAGCAGTGGGTGGGTCCCTAGAGTCATAAGACAGACAGGACCACAATCTGGCCCATTTTCAACAAGGATGTCCAAGCTCTGGTTGAAAGTCTTCAACCAACAAGTCACCCCTTCCTTACACGACACACACAAGAGGCAACAGACATGACCACAAATCAAAACCGGTCCGCCTCGATCCCAAGGGAGGGGTTGAAACACTAACAGTTGGTCTCCATGCTTCTGTTTAAACAGAGGAAAAGGGGTTGGGGATTTATCTCAGAGGTAGAGCGCTTGCCTAGCAAGCGCAAGGCCCTGGGTTCGGTCCTCAGCTCCAGAA